TTATATATATATATATATATATACACACACACATTATATATGTGTTTTAGACAAAATAATTTAATAATTGAACTCTAGCCCTTATAAATTTTGAGCCTCCTGTAGGAATTTGTATTCAGATGTGGAAATAAATTTCTTGTCCACAAAGAGAAAACTTTTCAAAAGCCAGCAATGCATAGTTTAATACAATTGTGGAACTAATTCCTTCCTATAATACTTTTAAAATAGTGACTTTTGGAATGGTTATGTTTAGAAAGGTAAAACTCAACCCTCTTAGTTTTTCTGTTTAAAAATTTCTTGTTTCTAAAGATATGACAATCATTTTATTTTATCACCTGAAACCTGGAAATTTCTTTCTCACAATCTATTTACCACAAAGCTTCTTTTTCTTCCAATTCCAAGTACACCAGAAAGAAAAATCATGAATTTGAGGTAGCTAGTTTCAAGGTTGAATTTGACTTTTTCTTGTTATTTCATTATGGTATTCTTATATTTGTATTCGACAGAAAGGTAAGAAATTAACTTACGAGTTTCCAGGATGTTTATTTATTTTACTGAAGTAACTGTTTTTACAGTTAATTCTTTATATACAGTATCTTTAGTTTTGTTATTTAGTCCATAGGCAGACTATAACAAAGTACGCTTAACGTTATACTTTTATACTCATACAAAACTATCTTTGACATCTTCATTACCTGGTTTTCAACACATTATATTATTATATGTTCATCATATAAATTCGAGTGATATAGATATCATTTATTCATATTAGTTTTGACACTTTAGATCATTCTTTTACTACACCATTTCTTTCGATAAAGTAGCCTCAGGTATACACCCTTAGACCAACTACTTGTACACGTATCAACACCGACTATCAGTCGGCTATCATACAATACTTACATAACAGCATAGTAAATGGCTATGTTATGTATTGATTTTAATTATATTTTAAATCATAAATTAACTAAAAAAAAAAATACATATATATGTTTGTAAAATAGCCCTACTAAATAATCTTGTCATGTATTTGAAATATCTGTGTTTCAGATTATACGATGTTAATGAACTAGTAATGTTAATTCATAAATTTGAAATATCTGTGTTTCAGATTATACGATGTTAATGAACTAGTAATGTTTA